AAGGTGGTCGGTAAGTATTGTGTACTTTAGATACAGTTTAAGAAGATTTTAAGCTAAATATTTATATTGCAGGTCTTGAGCGATCTTTAAATCCATACTTAAGTCGCACGAGCTTGACTTTGTATAGGTATAAGATATTTGGGTTTCGACTCCAAATACACAACGTTCTAGATATCTTTTCGAAAGTTTAAGTTTGTTTGGAAAATTGTGCAAAATATAAAGGGCTAGAAGAATTTATTAGATAAAAAATAATGCAAGCTGATAGTGTAAGATCCAAACTGCGGTTTGGATTGAGGAATTACTGTCTAGCAAGTTTAGATACTCGTCTTACCCATTTGAAATCCAAAACAAGAATTCGGGGTAAATAACGGTTCAAATATTAATCATAAATATAAATATACATCGTTACCCAAACAATATTACCGTTTAGTTATTCCTTCAACGATCGTACAATTAATCAATCAATAATACAAATAAAAGTTATTCTATCCCTCCTGGGTAGATCCGATTCGTCCGACCGATGATATTTGGTTGCGATATAACACAGTGTTTCCAATTCTGGAAGGGTGTGTAGTGGTATACTTTTACGAAGAAAACACGATGGCTGAAATAAAAACATTTATTATTGTAATTAATTCTGACAATAAATTTTATATTGTACTCGTCTTGTTTATCTGTACTAAAGACTATCTCTCGCGCGCCAAGCGTGTCTTTGCCTCTTGGCCTTTTCTCCTCGCTTGTTGTTAGCCGCTCGTGTACTCTAGTCTCGTGATTATTTCTATATCACGAGGCTAGCGATAAATGTACTTCTTCATCCAAAATAGTCTTTTCTTTGACTTCTGGATTATCGGGATTTACCTTAGTAATCCCGCGAAGAAATATATTTATTCTAACTCACTATAAATCTATTGTGTGGTATCGAAGGGATACCAAAATTGTGCAAGAAATGAGGGGGGTGAGGTTACAGTGAGCAGTATACCCAAAACGGCAGCAATACAAATGGAAAGTTTACTCGTACAAATAAACAAAAGACTCAGTAAAATAATCACCGGTACAATTGGTTATGATAATGAATGTTCCTATTAAAACAATCGCGTTCTTTTATAAAAGTGAAGTCACTATAAATCTAAACCAAGAAAAAGTTGGAGAAAAGGAGATTTAATGATCTCGGAAAATAACAAATTCAGGACGCTTTCATAATCATAAAACGGAGAAAGAGGTTGAATATGTTTTTTAGATTATAAAGAATAGTTAACTGTCACGGTGAAAGGAATATCAGAGGGGTTTAAGTCACTCCTTATGACATTTACTGGTGAAGCCATTCATAGAAATGACATGAAATCGGAATAGAGATCAAACTTGAAGGCTCTGAACGAGTAGTCTAACTGATGTTCGTTAGCACTGTGTCAGGTATATTCAAAAATATAGAATAAACAAAATTGAGCATTCGTGAATGATTACGATATCATGATTGTCTTTTCACCAGATTTTCCACTCTGCGAAAGCTTTCCAAAGCTCTTAGCCTAATTAAACAATTTCTAAATTTAGAAATAATGGCTTCGATAATTTCAACAGAAATTTCATTATTCACTTGCGAGGTTTAGCTATAGTCTACAAAGTACTGAATAGTAATGCTATATGATTATGTTTATACTAAACTGTTTAGTCATTAATTCATGGTCGCTTGCTACAGATTCTCACAAAACACAATACTGCATGAATCAGCTTATTCTTTCTAGGTAATTCTAAGAATGTTTCACTGATAATTTACAGTTTAAATTCGTTTTTTCCTTGTTCTTTTACATCTTTCTTTGGAAAGGAAATCTTCATTGGGAAGAACATAAGCAAGGAAAGGAAAATGATCACTATATATGAATCAGGCAGTGGAAAGTTTTAGGATAATCATATACATTAGTTACACTGTACTGAATAACTAGATTGACATGGACCTACTGGTTTGAAAGAAAGCCACAAACGAGCTCACTTACAGGCTGTACTTCTTCAAGTAACATTACTCAGAGTTATTTAGAAATGTCTATCTAATAGCTTATTAAAATCGTGTGTCAAAGATCCGTTTGAGGTGCATATTCGCTTAATGTGCACACATAACTGTAACTACTACATGATCATCACCACATCCAGAAAAGCGAAAGATGATGACGCAAAAGCTTAGTATGTTCGCAAGCAGTTAATAATAACATAAATAAAATGAAGAGTCTGACAAGTAAATATGATATACTTAATACATAAAGCCAAAACATTTAGAATGTTAATCTAACTATGTGTGCTGGCAGTAAGAGGTACTTTATTTTAGTAGGATAATATCTGTCAAATTTTCGTCACTACAAACACTATACATACGAACGTCTTGTAGATAGGTTTTTTTACGTCAATCGATAATATTGCAAGCTGTTATTTAGTGTTTATTTGTTGGTCAATAGATAGATATTCCCACACATCAAACGAAAATATTCCTTCTAGCAAACAACAGAGCATATACGGCTTCTGAAATGAGTTCTCTGTCGATTCTCCAAATCATACGATCACGAAACATTTGGCGATCGTGTACATCGTAGATTGACCTCATTTGGATACTATTGAAAATCAGAGATCATTAGACAGCTAATCATTCCAATATAGGACTCACAAGGAATGAACAATGAAAATTTTTCAGGAATCAAATCAAGAGCCTTACTGTCTCACGACAATCTTTAATCATCAAAACATTGGAATAGGACCCAGTGGTGTACATTTTTGACTTCATTTAATTTTGCTTATCCGAAGAGTGTATTGGCCATCAAAAGACTTGTTAAATTTATTTCCGATTACCTTATCATTTCATATTACAATATACTTAACCCTAACCAACTTTTAAATCTAGTTTTTGAGCCACTTATCATTTAGGTAAGGTAAATTGTTAAATCGTTAAATAAATATATAGTGTTTCTCATCGTTTTATTGTTATTTTGCTTAGTTAAAATGTTGACACAGTACGACTGTGTAAACTTACATTGTGTTTATTCATTTAACCACGCGATGTAAATTTACGTCGATCGTCGATAAAATTTAGTTTGACTAAGTGTGATACAAGGTTGGATATAAAGATCGATATTTTTGTTAATCCTAATACTAAAAATTCAAACAGCTTCCTGAATAACATGGAGATCTACACTTCAATCTGAAAAAGAATATTAATAATTCTCTTTATATCTGAAACAGTATAATCATATCCTTAAGAATTTTGCTTCTATGTAAAGGCAGTTCAATTTTCCTGTCTTTATTATACTGGTAGTTATCCAAATAAATTTTTCACGCATCCTCTTAGCACCACATAAAACTGAATGGAAAAATCATTTGATTCATTAGAGAATAAAACAAATAGATTCTAGATAGTTGCTTCCCGATTACGTATATTTCCATTGCAACTGCAGCTTATTAACCGGCTATTGCCGACATAATACGGGGTAAAATTAGTGGTATGGTTTAAATCAAAGTAATGATTTGCTGATTTATAATTAGTACGAAGATATATGTCTCATTTTACCAGTAAATCTGTATAACATCAATTATAGTCGAATATGGTTTAATCAGTCTTTAAGGCGGTTCTAAAGATAACTGTACAATTTTGTTCTCAAAACTTTATATGCCATGTATTTCAGGTTTGTTTTCTATTTACTGAAGCTATCTGGTCGTCTTTTCAGTAAAACAATCAAGAACGGCTCTGATTCTGGTACTCGATTTATTGTTGACAGCTGTTTCATTTGAGGAAATATATAAAAAAGCACTAAATAACGGACAAGTTGGCGTTCAGTAGAAATTATTTAGAACAATAATTCAAAAATGGATTCTCCTTATAAACATAACTGGGAATCCGAAATCATCAGAAATAACGGCGTTAATTTAAAGCTGAAATGTAATGTTTAAGATGCGCAAGATAATGACAACAAAATTTCCACCAAATGAAATTCGGAAAAAACACGATTTTGTGGTGTAATCTGCAATAATTTATTCGAACGATACAATAAATCTCAGGAGATGGTATTACTTACCTAGTTACGCCTGTCACCCCCAATGAATCATAGGCCGTCTACCAGTATTCCCCAACCTACTCTGTCATGGGACGCCCTTTACAGTTCTGTCCAATTTTTGTTCATTCGTCTCATGTCTGTCTCCATTTCTCGGAGTAATGCTTTCTATGGCCTTCCTCTTTGCCTTTGACCTTGGGGGTTCCAAGTGAGGGCTTTTCACTTGGCGCAGCTGGGTGATTTTCGCAGTGTGTGTCCTATCCGCTTCCAGCGCTTCTTCCTGACTCCTTCCTCCTCTGGAGTCTGGTTTGTTCTTTCCCACAGTAGGTTGTGGATGGTGGTGTCTGGCAAACGGATTCGAAGTATTTTGCGTAGACAACTGTTGATAAATACTGTATCTTCTGGATGATGACTTTCATAGTTCCGCTCGATACAGTTGGACTGTCTTGACATTTGTATTGAAAATTTAGATTCTGGTGTTTGTTGATAGTTGTTTTGAGTTCCAGATTTTCTTCACTTGTAGAAATGCTACCTTTGCTTTACCGATCCTCACTTTCAGATCTGCATCAGATCTACCTTGCTCGTCAGTTATGCTGCTTAGATATGTACAGGTTTCTACGTCCTCCAAAGCATCTCTGTCAAGTGTGATTTGGTTGTTTCATGTTGTGTTATATTCGAGAATCTTGCATTTCCCTTAATGTATGTTGAGATCTGCTGCTGAGGTTGCTGCTACACTGGTCGTCTTCTCTAGTTGTTGCGTGTGCGTTAGAAGAGCCAGATGGTATAAAGATATAAAGATATCCAAATACTTAGCATCAGTGAAAATACTCTTTTTGTACCTTTGGTATATAACAGTGAAAACGATAAAGATATGTGAAAGGAAAACAATAGCCTCTATTTCATAACATTTCATTCAAAAAGTAAGTTAAATATCACAGTTTATACAAACTATAAGACAGTCATCATCATAACCGAAAAAGATTAATTTCATATACAATTACTGTCCATTTTTTACGACACATTTAGCAAAGCTTTATTAAATCGTAAATTCCCCCAATTCCATCTTTGTGTACGTAAGTCTGAGTTACATCGTCTTACAATAACCGATAGACTTTTTAAATTTAAGTCTAAACACAAACCAGAAGTTGAATGTATTATATTAACAGGATTTTCTTTGTTTCTATAAGCTGACTGCAGATTCCAGTGTTGGTTTCCGTTTCGACCATGACAAGAGTAAAGTAGAACTGGTCTGTTAGGTTTGGCATCTGGTACATCTAAGCATAATGACCTATAATATGAAAAGTATTTCGACAAATAAAAATGAAGTGTCCTTAAGAAACAAACTGAAAGTATTTATTTGTTGCTTCATAAATACACTATGCATAACACAAGTTTATACTAGCATAATATGAATCGTTTGTACTTAAATATATATATAAATTAATCTAATAACTGAACAGATGAAAGTTCCCGAAATCGTCGAATTAGTTTTCAATATTAGGCATTTATGGACCTGTATGTAAACTTATTTTCATGAAATCGTGTTTACAATTCTTTTAAATATACGTACACACTAATTGTTGACATAAGCTAAATTTAGTTGCGTAAGTAGGAACAACAATATTTCTTGCAGGCTCCAAAGAGCCTAAATTGACAATAACTTACAAATTACAAGTCTAATTTTGATACATCTGAAATATTGAAGTTGAGATGGAAGTTTAGAATGACACAACAATTATCTCTCCATCCATCTTTCTTTCCAGAGAGATTCAGATTTGAAATAGAATTGGTGAAAGAATTAAGATAGTAATGAAAAACAGATTTTCCGTCGCTACCTATTCTCATTTCTTAAAATATTGAGCAAAAAAGTGGAACTAATAACTTGTTATCGATTCCAGTTGCATTTATGACTGTACACCTACATGCGAAAGCAAGTAATTAAAAGGACTAATAAAATGCTTCCAAGAAGTTTTCTGACCATTTCTGTCAAAACCCATGCTTGAAGAGAATCCGAATATTTAGGGGTTTCATTGCTATTCATCTGACGGATAGTATTTGTGAAGTGAATGTTTATGAGGCCTATAATCTAATAACTGACCAAAAATTTAAATTAGTTTAACTTTGCGTAGACTATTACAATTAAAAGCTTTTGAACTGGCCTACAGGAAAATACGTTTATAGTCAAACACTCCTTTATCTGGGACAACAATTGCGCTGAAAAATCTCTGCTCGTAATGGAATCTGAAAGTTAATTATTATATATACGATAAGAAAGAATCCTCAGTAAAAATTTCCCACCTGAAACAAACTACTTGACTCATACGAAAACTAATTTTAAATTACTACTTAGTTTTTATAGATCTCTTAAATACTCAGAAAGAAACTGATCAATCAACAGCGCATTTTGTTGAATAGGTTAAGCATCATTATTTTGCGTTTCAGAATATTAGATGCGTTCGAAAGTAAAAAGGTGAAAACACTTCAATAGTTAGGGTTTAGGGTTCTGTCGAGAATTCTACAGGTTAAATAATGCCTAGATCTAGGGAAGAGAATAATTCCCATCATCTTCAGTAAATCAGTGACAAAAGATATACTCTTACAGTTTCCATATATTTTAATTTTTTTCCGAAATGATTTAAATATGAAATAATGACTGTAGTATCTAAGCTGGCTTCCATATTATTTCCAAATCTTGTTTGTTTGATTTAATCGCCAAATTTACCAGTTTTCAAATTGTTTAATTAGATCCCCATTGTCGTAACTAGTAATTCAAATATCCTTAAAGTTTTCTGAATATACTGATTAGTGTATGAAACTAATGGCTAATGTTTTAGGGCAGTTGTCTACAAAATGTTACAGTTTATCATGAGGTATGAAGTACGAAAAGAGAGACACCAAATTGTGCATTAAGAGATATGATATGCTGAACGATTATATTTCCAAGAAAATTTTGTTAATAGGCCCACTTTAAACGAGAGCCTGTATGGGATAGTTGAACTAAAGGCACAGGGATCGAACCAAATTTATGCATAGAAATGAAGTGCCAGATCAGTTCAAAGAGCTAACAACCCTTTATCAAAAGCGATAAATAGTACGCTTAAATTTATATTAACTAAAAAGCAGAATATTCAGTCACTCAGTCAGTTACAAGGTAGAACTTCGTACGTACTTACATACGTTCATGTGGCCATACCAAATTAGCACACAGAAGCAACTGTCAGTTCATATCCCATAGAGGTAGAGGTAGTAGAAGTATTAGCAGTAATGGAGAAGATTGGGGTTCGAACATATTATTCAAGAAGGTTAGTTCGGTGAGGTAAACTTAGAAAGAGAAAGACAGAGGTGATGAGGAATTCAGAAGATTAGAATTTGAGAGAACACAATGAATGAATGCACCTGTGCCATCACAAACGATTTTCAGCCATATCATTCAGGGCCTCTAACCATCGGTTACTATTGTCTCGCGGACCCCAACCAGCTGGTCTACATCTACCAACATGACTTAGTCAACTAGTCAGTGGCTCCATGGATTTGCGCCATGATTTGTTTTGGCCACCCCTAACTTTCTTCCAACCTACTCTTATACCACAAAACATCGCTCAACGAGAAAGTCATTGGTCGTACACACGCAACACATGTCACAAACACCTCAACTGGTGACGATTCAATACTTCATCTTTTGGTTTGCCATCCCTACCTAGTACTCGTTTCCTAATGGCAGCATTGCTTACTCGGTTGTCCCACGATACACGAGCAATGCTTATAAGACATCTATGATCAAATACTAGTAACCTACAAATATCTTCTACTCTTACCGGCCATGTTTCAAAACCATATAGGAGAACGGAGCGAACCACTGCGCAGTATACCCGTCCTCTAGTCATTTTTGCATTTCGAGGAGGAAAACCGCATCCCGAACATGCTTGCATTTTTGCTTAGAGTAATCAGGAGACTCTGCATTTTGTCAGCGTCTTCACCAAGTAGAACTATGTCATCGACATACTCTAAGTCAAAAAGTGTGTCTTCTGGTAGAATGTCTACCCCTGATGAGTCAAACGAAGATGAATTTAACTTTAAAAGCCTCTCGGTGACAAATTTAAACAAGAATGGGGAGAGTGGACATGCCTGACGGACACCACTTGGAGTAAAGAATTCTGAAGACAGTTCGCCATAAGCTCTCACTCGACCAGTAGCGTTCGAGTAGAGAGCTTGTATAAGGTTAATGTACTTCTTTGGTACATCTTTCAATGATAGACACTGCCACAGAAACTCACGATCCGCAGAGTCAAATGCCGCCTTAAGGTCCAGGAAAACAACTATTGCATGACGCCTAAATATGTGTCTGTGTTCCAGGAACTGTCACAGTGTGAAAATGTGGTCTATACAACCACGTCCAGATCGAAAACCAGCCATGTTTTCTCTAGTCTGCTCTTCACAAGCTCTAGTTAGGCGTCTAAGGATAATCGAGGCTAACAATTCAGAAACTATATTAGTTAGACTGAGTGCCCTGTGATTGTCGCAAGAAGACTTTTGTCCTCTCTTGCGAATTCGGACAATCAACAATTGGGACCAGTCAGATGAGATTACGTCCATTTCCCCGATTCTATCTAAGATCTCGGTCAGTCTGGCTGCTAAAACTGGAACACTACCCCTAAAAGTCTCAGTAGTCAATCTCGCTTCAGATTTCCTATAGCTTTCTCAACTCCTTAAAGACTAGGAGGACTTATGTCGGTTTCCCGTTCAGGATGACTGGGGATCATGGGCAACCGTAGTGTGTCGGAATGCCAGTTGAACTGATCCCTGAAGTGTTTTGCAAATCGACTCAATATCCTGGAATGAGAATGAATGATAAAGTCATCCATTTCCGAGATAGTTTCACTCACATTAGGGTTCTTAATACCGGTTTCTCTGATAAGTCTGAATAGTTGCCTACTGCTGCCTATCTCCGTTGCCTTATTCATCTCCCCTGCTTTCGCCACCCACCACTGTTCACGGTCGTTGCGTAGGCTTTTTATCAGCCTACGCTTAAGCTGACTTCGCTCTTCATCATGTTCAGAGCCAGGTGGGATTTGTTTTCGAGCATCCATCAGTTCCGTAGATGCTACTGAGATCCATGGCTTCATTCTAGCCTTACGTTTCACCTTGCGTGCCGATATCACTGCTGTTTTCACAGCTTTTCGGATATCATTCCAAGCTGCCTCCGGATGGGAATCACTTACATGATCGCCTTACTGTCTTTCTAGTTGCGCGTGCAATATATTCTTAGCTTTATTATCATTAAGTAGAGCCCTATGAGATTTCCTTGCGATTTTTTCTTGAGTCCAATAAGGCGCAAACCAATACGCGCTCACACTAGAGCATGGTCTGAGTCTAAACAAGTGCTTCAGAATGAGCGGCAGTCCTCAACAGGACCTCTCCCCCGATGGGTTATAGCGATGTGATCTAGTTGGGTCGGCTTTTTGGGGTCACCAGGTCAAAATGGTGTTTAAGCTTATGCTTAGAGTTAGTGTTTGCTAGGAATAGGCGGTTGTCTGAGCATAGCTGAAACAAACGGTCACCATTGTCTGTTCTCTGAGCCGCGACACCATAACATCCACCCAGATGTTTTTTCTTTTTCGCGGAGTCTACCTACTTGAGGGTTAAAGTCACCAGCCATTATTACTTTTTCAGAGCGCTTAATATTTTGTAGAAGTTTAGAGAGGTTTCTTTAAAACTTATCTTTCATACCGTATGAACTGCGGTCAATAAGAACGTAGGCAGATATGACGAAGAGGCAACGGCGAGTGTCCCTGTCCTTTTGGAGTTCGTACCGTCCCGTTTAGTTGGACAGCGCATAATCGACTGTCTATCGGGATCCAGTCTAATAGAGCTTGTTCTGCCCTAGGACTTAATATTATACCTGCGCTGGCGAGGCCACGAGAAGCGGCATCAGGGCTTGCAGAAACACGAAGCGTAAATCTTGTTATGTCTCTATCTGCACTAAGTATGATCAAATTAATGATTTTACTCGGGTCTTGTATGCGCGTTTCGGAGACGCAACATACATCGATCGCCCGGGATTACAGAGTTATATCTAATGAAGCCTGTTGCCCTATTTGGCATAGGGTCCGAACAATAAAAGCTCCTGTACGTAATTTAGTACGTGGTTTCAGGAGACCAGGATTAATGTTTTGAGAGACCAGTCATATGGGATTTTGCCCAGTTTCCAGCTTCTACCTAAGATCTCAGTCAATCTAACTGCCGAAATGGACCACAATTCCTGAACATTTCAGGTGTAAGCCTATCAGGCAGGGGTGTTCTTCCTCGCTTCAGATTTCCTATAGCTTTTTCAACTTCAAGAGTCGGAGGACTTACATCTATTTGCCATTCAGGATGACCGGAGATCATGGGCAACCGAAGTGTGGCTGAAGGTCAGTTGAATTGATCGCTGAAGTGTTCTGATCATCGATCCAATCTCCTGGGTTGAGAATGAATGATACAACCGTCCTTCTCTGAGATAGTCTCACTCATAGTCGGACTCCTATTACCAGTTTCGTTGGTTAGTCGGAACAGTTGTCTACTGTTAACTATCGCCTCTACCTTGACGTGATGGTCGAGCTTGCCTATCGTTATGGTGCGACCGAGCTATATCGTCTGGAACATAAGTTCCTGCAGGTTTTGCCATGCCAGGCAGGTCGATTGTAGAATGGTGAGACTAATGGTAGCCAATCAAGGTCCGAAGGCGAAGTCGTACTGCTGACTGTAGAGGGTTGTGACGGCAGTATGGTGTTTCTTTAAGACAACCAATATCTACAGCGATGCTGCCTTCTCGAAAGGAGAGAAGGGGTCAGAGAAAAAGTTGACAGTAAAAATATCACACTTCACCTTACCTCACGGATTTCCGTCTCTGACGCTAAGGCCTTTTAAATAATAGCGGAGCCAACACTTTAAAAACTTTTCACAAGAAGTTCGTGCGTGACGGGTCTCAAGCAATTGTGTCTTGGGCTCTGTGGTCACGCTTCTAGGTCTCTAAGACCAACAATAATCTACCTTTCTTTTCAGTTTCCTCAAGAAACACACTTCCATGGTGTGTGCAGCCGGAAAGTGACAACCTTCCCCGTTCCCTTAACAGCACACGAGACCAAATTGGTCGCAATCAAATCCTTGCTACACCCCGTAACATCCCCCTTATCTTTATGACTAACCCTTCTCACGTAGTAGAATATTAGGTCATAAGTAATACGTGTCATAACAACTAAACTTATAGCCAACCTGATATATTGTAATTCTGATAAAGCACAACTAGAGTTGATTCAAACTAAATTTTGAAATTTCTTTTTCTGTTCATGGACAAAATAAGTAAAAACTTTCTACTAATAAGTAATTATTGTGACATTTTCTAAAGAAAATCAGTCTTGAATGTTAATTACTAAGATGAATTGCCACTTATAAACTGTTTATTCGTTTTGGGACTGAATTTAGCATTCTGTTTCCAAACCTCATAAAACTGTAATCATCAAATGTATAAAGTTAAATGCTTTACGGAGATCCAGCCTATTAATTTAGCAGTAAAATTTATTTCACTGTTATGTTGCAAAGAATTTAATACTTTTTCCAAAAGTGGACAAAGACAACGTGAAATCTAGATTATCATGCAGATTTTTTCAAACAAATCATTACTCATAGTTAAAAAATTCAAAATATTTTTTGGTTTATATCATGCACTAACCATCGTCAGATAGCCACTAAAACTGGGAAGTATTGGATAAATGTTTAGTTTTACTATGGAGCGCCTCAAAAACACATATACCATATTGTAAAAAAGATCTATGCAAAACCTGTGGGTTTCGAGGAGACTGATTAACCTCTATCCTGAACAGTTGGAATCCACTGATATATATGTCTAACTACAATCGATTATCATTGTTACAGAACCATCTTTTAATGACATTGGTGGGCAGATTTCTCACACTTAACGTGGTTGACCTTCCCTGGTTTAGGTATTTCACCAGACTTTAAAATTCATTTCAAACACCGAATGTTCAAATAAATACATAAACAGGATACCACAAAAATAGTATTTTAAAGGTAATGCATGACCAGAACTGAGGACCAGTATTCGTAAATCAAATTGATATTATATAATTAATGTCATGCTTACTGTTTTAAAACTTTAATTTCTTCTTCCAAAGAATATTCGAAATTCTGGGTGTAATTATACTCTTGACTAGCCGCATTGCAAAAACTCAGTTTAAGGGGAAATTGCTTGTTAGCTCTTGTGGCATCAATGCAGAGATAAGGAAAGGCAATTGAACGTATTTCTCCAGTGGCAAACAGTACATGTTCAGGAGGTGGATAGGCTTTTATTAAATCAAACGCAACTTCTGTCATAAACCACCTAAAAGACTTGCACTGGAGCCGTTTCCTGAGATTATGCTGCTCTAATAAATCACCAGGGTCTACTTTTCTGCATTCTGGTAAATTTCTGTATATATATTCTTTATATTCGTCCATCCATACTTCTGCAACACGTCTAGAGTATATATAAAACAAGGTAATTCATTTAAAAATGTTTTTGCTTGGTGGGTTTGAAACATTACAGAAAAGTCTAATTAACAGTTTAAATAAGATCAGATAGCACTTACGCAGTTTTTATCTGTGCCTAATGCCAAACTGGTTTTGGAAATGTTTTGTCTTACGAGTTAGCTGCTGCATAGATTTTTCCCGAATTTTTGATAAATGTCATAAACATTACTCAGAAACATTCAGTTTCGATTTCCTCTTTCAAATGTCATTAGTGAAAATTCATTTTCATGGCCGGTGTTCCTAAACCTAAAGTCGAACAAACTAGTAAACTGTAATCAAAGATGAGAATATTTTGGTTGCTAAAGTGCAACTACATCTGATCTTATGCAAAAACAGAACTCAAGGGTACAGATAGACCAATTTTCAACAAACAAAATTCTTTTTGGCTTTGAAAATAATTATAGTACTCAATATCAAACCATTAGAAATAAACTTGTTTAGGTAAAATGGGTTAGTAATTCAAATATCTTATAAAAATTCAAGGAGTGAAAATTCGAATAATCGTTTAAGTTCGTACCTAGGAATCCTTCATTTGGAAATTATAAACGAAGTTTCTATAAGAACTTTGTTAAGAGGGAATCAAACAAACAGCTCATATTAGAGAAGAGCTTTCAGACTTATGACTGTAAATGATACTTTTTCTTTAAACAAAGCTTAATAGAACATGATGTACGTGCATGCTCTGTCATTTTATCATCAAAATGTAGAACAATATCGCCTAATTATTCAAAAATATTTTAATATTAGGGTTTGCAAAATATACAGGAAATTGAAAATTCTGATAACTTGCAGAAGAAAAAGAATTCAAAGGTTTAGTGTACTGTCTCACATTGATGAAAACAAAATTTTCGCCATTCCTCTTCCTCAGTATTTAGATCAAAGAATTTAGAGTATTAAGTGAAGTGTAAGAATCATTTTCTGAGCTTTGTACAGACAGAGCTGGTGACCCTTCCAGTTATTGTGCAAAAAACTACAGATTTATTTGTAAGTCCACATTGCTCACTTGAAATTTCTTTGTAAAAAATTTTTTACACTTGGTTTAGGGAAATTTGTTGGATACTCCCGAAAAATATGTCCAACTCTTGAACAGGGAACGTCCACTATGCGTCCACCACACATCCAAATTTTGAAAGACAATTCATACTGCTCACCACCCCAAATATCAAGCATAGGATCATAACCTCCTAATTCCCAAAACCACTTCTTACTAATAGCAAACAAACCACCCGCCATCACTGGACTATCAAAAGGTGTTTCTGGATGAAGATGGTCTACTGATAATCTTGGAAGACGCTTGTAATAGAAACTCCAGTCAAACGCGCCACGAGCACCATCATCTTGAGCACGGTATTCAAAGGTGTCAGCATCAATTACATCAATAAAAGGGCATGTTACAGTCCGGTAATTTTTAGAAATCGGTTCCAGAAGAGGTGGAAGCCAATTCACGTTAGCTTCACAGTGAGAGTCCAAAAATATAAGAACGTCACCCGCTGCTAACTTCGCACCTGATAACTTTGCTCGGATAAGCCCTTCCCTTTTTCTCAAATGAATCACCTGAACAAGACCACTAGGATAGGTCCTTGAGAGATGATTATCGAGTCTGTCTTTCAAATGCTCTCGTGAGCTGCCATCATCAACCAAAATGATTTCTTTAATGAGCTCTAACGGCGATCGGTTTAAAACAGACACGATAGTGCGAATAAGTGTTTCCCAATGTTCTTCATAAACTGGTATAATTACAGACACAAGAGGCAGTCTTTCAGAATATAAAGCCCCTCTACAATTTGGATATCTTATATCTTTTACTGATCTATCCGTTTTGATTTTTTCGCTCACATAAATATTGAAACCATTGGAGTTAAGTGTTTTTTTCGACAGTGCTTTCTCGGACATTGATAATCTGACTGGCAAACCATTTTCCCCAGGCCCTTGTCTCATTCTTTCATAAAAAGAAAAGGAGTAGTTCTCCCAGTCTTTACATTTATATGATTTACAACCATTCGATATATTTGTTTCTGTTTGATGATTGATTACGTATTTATAATATATTACTGAACACAACAAGGACAGTAAAATAGTCGATATGATTATTCTAAAATTTCGGAAATATATAGACTTCATTTTAAATGATTTTGTAACTTGCAAAAAACGACTGAGTGAGGGTGCAGTTACATATAACTATTTTTGAAATTAAACAAACACAGTATCCAATATCCAATATCTTTTCCGCGAGTTAGGTTCTAATATCCAATATCTAATCCGATATGTAAACCAACTGACTAGCCACTCGAGTGCACTAATTCTAGTCATTCTGCAGTTCATTATAGGTTTGTATTACACTTGATTTGAATGAGTATGTTTGTTTAAGGAAAGATGAGATCCTGGATACCATCAGCCATCGCTTCAGCAGTCCGGAGATCCGGTAACTGCAGTGTGGATAATTATAAGGAGAAAAGTCTAATGCTGAAGAGATGATTTCAGAACTCAACCAATAAATAAAAAATTTCGTTTACTAATTGGTAGTGACGATTTTGAGAAACGCCAGAACTATAATCAAAAAAGAGGAAACATAGATTATAAGCGAAATAGATCAAGTTAGTGATCTGAGGAAATGGCAATCATAACAACTCACAAGTTTGAAGATATGCATCAGGCATAGGTAGTCCAACAGGGATATGATAATCCGTATGTGAGTACGTGTTTATCATGTCTATCTCTGAAGCTATCCACTGAGTTGGATGTGGTCACCTCGGATGGAAGAGCATTTCACGTTGTAACGGCTGCTAATGAGAAAAAATGTTCACAAACCTGTGTTCACTCTTTGATGCGCAATTTTACGAGGATTTCCTCGAGGGGTGAGCTGGTGATGCTTCGAAAAGATGCTCATGTTGGGATAATTTAGCATGCCTAATACGTTGTATGCCACTACTTCCGATTCTCCTGCAAATCAGAGGGAATAGTCCGAAGTGCTAGAATCTACTTTCGTAGGATTTTTCCCTCAACTCTACCGCTTGTTTGGTTGCTCGTCTCCGAACTCGATCAAAGAGATTCATATCTGTTTGAAGGAGCAGTTTTGGGACGATATTGTGAACTTCGAGGTGTGTGTGTGCGTAAGTCCTAAACAATGTTAAGAACGATTCGGCGGTGATGGCACCGAGTTGTCTTTGCACAAAGTGAAGTGAAGCGTTGGTGATGGCTGCGCCCATTATGTAGTTCGGACTAGTTTCTGGACCTTCTGTCGTTATTAAACTGAGGTTGCGGTCTGAGGAGGCATTAGTGAGCGGACTTCCATTGACAGTGCCAGTCGTTAGTGTCACGTTGAGCAAAAAGTTCAAAAAATGACAGTTCTAACGGTCAAGTTTTGACCCGCTACCTACTGCCAATTCCTCAGTTCATGTAAGGTATTTTTGAAGCTCTGTTCATTCGCCTTCGCTCATTATGAATCTCCAGATCTCTGCATCATCTACATATATAATTGTGGCTAAGCAAATTTTATCTAACAGGGCAGATTGTGAACCAAGAAAGAAATATATTAGCGAAGCCAATCTTCACAACCCTCGCACTTAGAAGTACTTGAGTTACTGTGACGAAAGCTCTTGCGAAGTCAAGGAAGATTATATGAACCTGCATTTTCCTGTCGCAGCAGTTTACCTAGTATGTGCAGTGAGAAGGCTGGGTGCACATCACCTGAGTTTCTGAAACCCCTGCTTGTCGGAAGATGTTATTCTTATCCATGTTCTCATTCATTTACTCATTCAGTACTCCCTCCATTACCTAAGATACTATTTGTTGTAATGAGACTGGTCTGTAACAGGTCAGATCCCTCTTATCTATACCTTTAAAGATTGATGAGAGAATTGCTGGTTTCATTCATCTGAAAGTTTGTGTGACTCCAGCAAACTCCTGGGCAGGTCACATGCCGGTGAACTAAGGGCATCCTCACACTATTGTAATGTTCGAGTGTGAATATTGCCACATTCTGGTGAGATGTTGCAGGAAATCTGTAGCTCTGGTGGATGATTGTGGTTGAGTTTAGTTCTCTGAGCCAGGTGTTCTGAATATAAGTAGTTAGATGAATTACTATGCATGTTCTACTACATTCTGTGAATCTGCAGGATCTATAACAGTTCAGCTCCGTTGAATCCTCTTTATTCATACATTCATTTGCTCACTCGCTGCCTTATCAGTGACTCCTTTCCACAAACCCGCATGAAGTGCATGAAGTGTAATATTGGAGAAAAAGAAAGATCTGGGTAGCCATATCTCAGTGTTCTAACAGCAGTATTTTCTGTGCAACTTCTCTCTCTTTCCTGTTTCCTTCTCCTTTTCAGCATGGTTGCGATATATCACTGAAAACATAACATAATATTATTAATTCTCAATTAAAATTGTGACAAATAAGGCATACCAGTTCACTGTTGAAATCACTGCTACGCATTATACCACATTTACTGTAAAAGGCTGCTCAGTTAGATTAATAATAAGTCTCGTTCTGACACCAAGCGTATGCCACTTCACCGACAGTAAGTTTCATAAAGCCACATTTTCAAAAAATGATTATAAATAAGGTAGATCCGTAGCAGATTTCTTGGGCGGTAAGCATGATGAAGAGTAAATTTGTTAAAAAGTGTCCGCTGGAAGGCGCTTGGTATTAGACGTGCTCACTAGTGACTGGCTGCGAGAGGAATTTCTCGGAATTTTAGTGCCGACGTCTGACCAGTGAAGTCTACCCCTGTCAGAATCAGTCAGTAACCGCCAAACACAATGATTTAGGTTGCACAAAGCCTCAGAATAATCAAATTTAGACATAGGCACCGTTGAAGACCGGCTCATTGGTTCAGGGGTTTAGTGTTCGCGCGCAATCGAAGATGATAGGCTATATTACTGCGAGCGGAGGTTGCGGGTGACCGCTGCCGAGGATTCCCACGATAAAATGAAATGGCCCTCCAATGCTTTTAGGTTTCTAATGGTGGTCTAACAATGATGGACTCATGATTTCAGTAATTAGCTGTGGCTTTCACGAGTCTCCATGTAAGGTCCTTTCTCGCAGAAGCACCATGGTCGTCCACGGCTGATAGGGTTCTGAGAGGAGACTAAGGAAAAGAACTAAAAGCGCAACAGTGCAATTGGAAATGTGGCCAAAGTATTGTTGGATCGTTAATGGTAGAGAAGATAAATTAGTGGTAAGTCAGTAGATAAAATTCATATGGCCTACCAAATACATAATAAATTGCAGTAGGACGGTATTCATGCTACGGAGTACAGCGATGAAGAATGGTCAGTTGTGATTTGTATCAAGGTGGAGAGATGTTGACCTGAAGGAGCCTAGTATCCTTACATCAAAGCCGAAAGTTCAGCAAGGGGATCAAAACTTGAAAAATATAAATATATATTTTTCATTGTCTATCCCATTTTTCCGTTAAATACCAACCTCTAAGTCATACTGTGAGTACCTGAATAAACATGTTGCAGGTTTTCTTGGCCTCAGCATCACTGGTCAGTCAGCCCATCTATCAAAAAGAGCCTCAAGCAAGCAAAATATCTTGCCCCGCACCAACATTATCTGCTGTTCAGTAACTCCACTTTCCCTCCTTTTATCTTGTTAGGCTAATGTAAAACGATTGCTAGATATTATTTTATATTCTACTTGAGGCTCTATATTTCACATCCAGTCGAGAAACACAAATTCTACAAGTTCCTTTTTACGAGCTTGTCTGGCTGTTACAACTTGTGACCTACCCCTTATAGGTCAGTGCAGTACAGTCAACAGTTACGGAGAAAAGTTTGGGTTTTTAAACGAACCACAGTCAGTTAGAATGTAGTGAAGGAAAAGTGTAGGAGTAATGTAGCTGTAACAAGAGGAACGGATAACGAAATGTAATCAAAGGTGAGTCAACAAAAAATAAGACAGTTGATTGGGAATATGGAACTCAAAAAATTATGAGTGTTGATAGTGTTTTGTCCAATCCAAATCAGATGACTGCTTTTCAGGTTGTGAATGTATGATCGCTGTTAGTTAGGTAGCAAATGGTGAGGTTTGGGCGACATCTCGTAGGGTAATAAATTACCTTCTTATCAGCCAGCCTCAGTTCAACAGTATCGATCGACACAGTGAATGACCTGTATATTTCGAGTGAAAACTAAAGAGATTTGTATTCAACTAGGAGAATATAGTGCTACTTCGGAAGATAGAAAATAAAATGCAGCTCTGAATTCGGTTTGGTTTGAACGTGTACAGGGTGAGGGCGAGGTCATGCGTGAGGACTAATCACTGCAAGCTAGGGCTTCATTAAGAAGCCATACAACCTCTTGTAGCTTATCGGCCATGTGCATATTTAAAGGAAGACCATTTCATATCAGTGCTTACTTAGGTTTCTCCAGTTTTTGACCAACACTTCTCAAGTCCATCTGTAGATATTTTATCTGGAAGGTTGTGTGTACACATAAGGTACATAAGGAACAGACTACAAGGCTGGTATATGCGTTTGAGCAGCAGTATGAAGTAGAGGATAAGATTTATTTTAAGCCTTCCTTTACAAACTGGACTTCGGGTGGGATAGTCAATGAGCAAGTTATTTTTAAGTATTTTGGGTTGAAATTCTTTTGTATTCCTTTAACCTTCAGTATTCAGATAGGCGTAAGTTTGGAAATAAGAATAAGCAATATTCAGCAAAAGGCATTACGCACGTCTTGTCCGGATTATTTGTGGGGAAGTTACGAAAAATGAAACCTAGCATTTTTCTCATCTCGCAAGCTTTGTTGGAAATATGTTCTGAAAAATTAAAGCCGTGTGAGTAATAGACCCTTAGATCAGCCACTAATGTCAGTTTAGACTGTATATTACAGCAGAGAGTGAGACTTATTTAGTCTGACGTGTCTCCGAATCACTGCGAGCCATATTTCTCAATAAGGAGATCTGATTCCCAACGTTTACATCAGTAATCTATATTAGAGATTTCATACTGGATTGTTCGCATCGAATTTCCTGTTATATTCGTTAATTCTATTG